GTTGTTATAACCGCAGACAACGCCGCGGGGCGAAGCTAGTCTAAAAAAAGTAGCCTAAGTTACTCCTTATGTCATCAGCTATCTGCCAGTGAAAGTCCCGTCGAAATCGGTCCAGCCGTTCCAGAGATTACCCGGAACAAACAGACAGACAAAAATTGAAAAAAATATTATTTTGGCATATGTACCGTGTAAACATACATATGTGGCAACATTGTTGCACATCACTATGATTGAAATACGTAGCATCATGACAGTGCAACACTATTGCCTGTCAGTCTCTCGTGTCTATGACATTCATTCTTTTAGCTTGCTACAAAATGGCTACTGTAACAATTGGTGATTATATATAAAAGTTAAATATAAATCTTATTTCTGTGAGACACATACGGCAGTTTTATTGACAACAACACGTAAAATAAACTGGTGTACTGGCCACCGTGATTTCGGGCCTTACGACACTAAAGTGGTGACCCCGACGTGATTGGAAGCAGCCTTCAGAAGGAGCAGATCATCAGCAGCACCATCGTCTACACTCCCACAGCGATGAGCACTAATCAAGTCTCAGCCAGCAAGCAACCTCGGCCTCTACAGGGATACCACACGCAGGTAGCGACCGCTCCAGCCTGGTTACCTCTACGGCCTCATCAGCGTCTAGGCACAGCACACTGCACCTACGGTCCACGTAAGAAGAGCAATTTCTCTCCCGTCTACGCAGCAGCCAGCCACTACGCAGCAAGCGCCCCGACTCACTGGGGACTTCACCGCAGCACCGCGCACCGCACGCCATCCCGACTCACTGGGATCAGCGGACTTCAGCCCCGACTCACTGGGGCTAGCGGCACTCAGTTCCGACTCACTGGAACTAGCGGCACTCAGTTCCGACCCACTGGAACTAGCGGCACTCAGTTCCGACTCACTGGAACTACTCACTACTGGCACTGGCACGCTCCACAACAGAGCATAGACAGCTGACTCATCATATATCGACCTCCGGTCTTGGAGGGGAGTGATGTGGCGACTCCCACATACAAAGAAACAGAAACACACTACAGCGCCATCTAACGAAGACACACCGAACTACGGAGTAACTACTAAAATAAGAATTGCTAATCCTGTATCGCGATATAAAGAATTCCCCCGCCGATTAGCATATATACAACTTCCCAACATCAACCGTTGGGCCGCGGCCCGCCAGGCATGATCACCTCGCCTGGTCGGAGGATCCTCCCTTTGTGTTGGAGGGACATGACACCCGTTCCTCCACACATATGCATTTAGTAAAAAGCGGTTATTTTAATATTACAAACAATTCCAATTTTACTTATTTGTATAGATTGTGAACGGAACGTTGGACTATCCCGAGCTTGTCTCAAAAATATGCCTACTTGCCAATCCAACAAGATTCCGACAGAGATCATTGTTAAATGTTCCTTTGTGCACAGCAAATTACAGACGTAATTCATTTTTCTTGCGTACTGCGGTAACTTTCAACAGTACGGACTTATTTCATAGCAGCCCCGCTGCAATAAGGCAGCGGTTGGCAAATATAGTTTTTGAATAATGGTTGACTTGCTTGGCAGTTTATCGTCATACGGTGTTGTTGTAAATATATACTCAACTAATGGGTATTGTATCAATAGTGCATTCGATATGTTCTCTTCATTGTTTGTGGAGAGAATGCATTGCAGAGTAATGTGATGTGATGTTAGATACATCTACTACTGCAAAATTAAACTAATATAATCAATTTAACATGTTAATATTTTAAATTTTTGTTACCTTCTTTAAAGTTTTTGGTTTGGGTTGAGGTGACTAAGGGAGCAAACTACCAGGACAAAAGTATGGTAGGTTAAACGTGCAGACGTGTCATCTGATGGACCGATAACCCGTGGACATACCTCAAGAGTTGCAAGTGCATTGCCATCCTCCCATATTCCCTCCTCCCATGAATTAGGGGGGAGGGAATTTAGTTGTCGGTGACCCACTCACTCGGTTAAAAGTAACAATCAATGAAAAGCAAAATCCTCCTATTTTTGGAAAAAAATTATACAACCCTTAAAAAAACGCTGAGGTCTTATCCTATAAAAGTAATAAATAGGTACTCTGTCTGTGTAGTGACGGATTAAGAATACGGAATGTCACTACCCCAATTCATCCCGTGGGTGTCGTAAGAGCCGACTAAGGGCGCAAAACAACGCAGGACACCAGCACTGCAAAAAGACGGAAAACTTGACACAAACCCTATACCAACCCAGCCGGCCAGCGGCCCGGCCAGCGTGGTATAGTAGGCCAAAACCTTCTTTCTAAGGAGAGGCCTATGTCCAGCAGTGGACTATTAAAGGCTGTTGATGAGGTACTCTTATTCAGTTTATATTTCTTAAGTTATAGTCTCAAGAATGACCTTATACATTTAGTATATAAATACAGAAACTATTATTAACACTATAACGATAAGGACTTAAAAATATTAGTCTCTACGTTCAATCACTGAGCAAGGTGTCAGTGATTCAGTACATTTACTTTGTTATATTTCGATAGTTAGCAGCTTATTTTAAATGTATATAAATGTATAAAATATGTTTAAACAGTTTATAATTATTTGTATTTGTGTTTTTGTAGGTAAGTCTTTGAGTGTTCTGATTGTTGTTGTCTTGTTTTTTGGATGATGTGTTTTTTTTTCAAATACAGTTTATGTTTAATATTGTATTTCTGGTATTGTATCTCGTATTTAATACACTAATTTATAAAATAATAATACAAATTAATTACGCACGTTTATTATTCGATAGTGAGAATAATATTTATATGCAAGAAAATTGTTCTTGTTTTGGTAATAGGGGGCAAACGGGCAGATTGTTCACCTGATGGTAAGCGACTACCGTTGCCCATGGACACCTGCAACTCAAGAAACCAAAGTAAGTTACCGCCCTGTTTGGGGGGGAGGAGTGGGGGGGAAGGGGGTTGTCACTATCCATCAGGCGATTCATCTGCTCGTTTACTCTTTAATCTAATCCAGTCTACTTATCGTCATCATCATCAGCCTATCGCAGTCCACTGCTGGACATGGGCCTCTCCCATTGCACGCCACTTAGATCCATTTTCGGCTTCTCGCATCCAGTTCCTGCCAGACATCCTGCGCAGATCGTTACTACACCTGGCTTGTGGAGAACCGAGAACCGACAACCCTAGGGGTAAACGAGTTCTTGAGTGGAGATCAACGTAGTGTAGGACGCCGACAGGCCAGGTGGAGTCTAATTATACATAATGACTATTCCGAATGTAGGAATAATCATCTACTACCATCTTCCTTCGCAGTTTACTTTCCTATTGTACTTTCTTATTTTTTCCCGTATTAAAACTATTATGGCCGTGTGGTGACGGATTAAAACACAGAGTGTCACCACCCCTATTCATTTCGTGGGTGTCGTAAGAGCCGACTAAGGGAGCAAACTACGCAGGACAACAGCACTGCGGAGAGAAGGAAAACTTGACACAAACCCTATACCAACCCGTCTGGCCAGCGTGGTATAGTAGGCCAAAACCTCCTTTCTAAGGAGAGGCTTATGTCCAGCAGTGGACTATTAAAGGCTGTTGATGATGAAAACTATTATATTATAGTTCTAAGGAAATTCGGCCTCAGACAAAGAGCCGGCAATGAAAGAAATCCTTTTGCAATATTACACAGCTTGGAGCTGGATGCAGAAATGGGTGTAAAATATTAAGTGCAGGTGAGCGAGTTTGGGCGTGCTACATAAATGACGCAAGGCATTAGACAACGATCTTCTTTTAAGTCGTATTGTTTTTGGCAAGACAAGGTGACGTAGGTGGTAGCCATCTCCCCCCTTTCTTTTCTTTTTCTTACTTACTTACCGGTGGCAATGTCGGACTCGAAATGACTAAAACCGCACCCCGTCTCAGGTACAGTAGTCGGGGAACCAGGTGTACCCTAGAAAGGAAATCACTGGTGCCCCGACGTACCTCGGGCCATTCACGGCGGGTAGACGACCCCCCCTGTGTGGGAACCCTCATGTTCCCTCTGTGCTCCCGATGATACGCGGCTTCTTACCGATTTCACCTGGTAGGTCCAGTGCATAGGTGCCAAGCCATGGTATCATTTCCTCCAGTTTCACTGCACTAGCAGGCTGCGATACTTGATTTGAAATTTGCTGTATCTTATGAACTAGTTTTGTTTAAAGTTGTGTATTAAATAATTAATAATGACAATTTGATAATTGTAGAATTTATCACTTTGTTACTGCACGCATATCTACATTCTTGACCTAAATGCTGAGCATCTAATAATTAATACGTCCATACCTAAATAGTTTTTGCCTATAGTTTTTCTTGGTATAGATGTTGTTAATTATGGTTAATTGTGAATTAATTGACAACATCGTCATCATTGAACACCACTTTAATCCTCTCTCTTTCTGTACTCGATAGGCTAATTATTAAGGGAAGAGATATCGTAATTTGGTATTGCTGACGTAACAGGAGACAAGTCTATTATCAGCCATATTGAATATAGGTTTATGTACGACCTCTGTGTGCAAACGTATCATCATCATTCAGAAATTGCTTTAAAAAACCTCACCCGTTTTTTTATGGAAGGGGGGGATGAGCTGATGAGTCGCCTGTTGGTAAGTGACTACCGCCGCCCATGGACACCTGTAACTTAAGATTTACAAGTTCGTTGAGTTCCTCCCCCCAAGCAACGGATAAACTATTGGTTTTCTGTGAGGCCGTGGTGTCACTCTAGTCGAGCCGGCCTCTTTGTGCTAAAGCATGGCTTTGCCAAGAAAGCTCTCATTGTAACTTAATGCAATGTCAACACGTAGACTTTTTACTTTCAGTGACCGTGAAATCTCACTAAAGTGAAGAGTATCCTGGTATTGATGCACTCATTCAAAGACTAAAACAAGAGAGGAATGGAAGGATGAAGAAACACCATGTCTCGAAAAGATGCTACATCTATTGAGCAATATCAAAAACTTTACATTATGCGCAACCTGGGGTTAGTGGTAAGAATAAGAAAAATCAAGATAACAAGATGAATCTTAAAACAAGACATTCATTACTAAATGATTTGAAACTAGGTCACGATGCCCACGCAACTAGGTTTATCGTTTTACATACTTGTACATGCATCAGAGGTTAATTTATTACATATACGATGTATCTAATACATATATTAAATCATCTGGTATCAGTAATTGGTGCTTATCGGCTTGTCTTTGATCCGAACTGTAGGCATATTGTAGTCGTTTTGAATATTTTTAATATAAAATGTATTTGTTCTTGATTAAAAAACCAATTAAGAGTATAGCCCAGCCCATGGTGTTGCTTAAAAAAAACCCTTACTCTCTGGTGATCCTAATCGAGAAGGTCATGGTCATATCTGGTTCTTTCAAGATGGAGGGTCTATTAGAGTCAGTGGGTTAATTGATTGCTTCCTGTTTAGTTGACAGATCTTAATTTTTCCTGGAATCAGTTGAGCAACTTCGCTCAGTGCATGAACCCTCCTTGGTTGCAGACGCATCCTCAGTTCAGAAACCAGTACTGCCTTGCTAAAGTAGACGCATAAAGAATTGAAGAAAAAAGCGATTGATCCCTACGGATCCACTGAAGTATTTCTGAAAGTAAGTTAAGTTTGGGATCACCTGTCTACTAACTTTTAAACTTTTGACTTGACCTTTCAACCAGGTTGTACTGACAGTACCACGGGGTCACAGGCTGAGTGGTTCAGCGTGTATGTACCGCCTGCCTGTGAGCGTTAATATCTATGAGCAGAGGGAGTGAGTGAGAAAAGAAAAAAAAAGAAAAAAGAAAAGAATACTAATATAAACGGAATCTAATTTTATGAAAGAACCTTAACCAATTTTGGTAAACGATAGTCCGCTTTATCTCATTCATCATCATCATCATCAACAACCTTAAACTCAGTATTTCTTCAACTACAGCTTCGATTTCATGAAAGACTTAATTCTAAATTGTTTTAATTTTAGACGAAAACCAGATTTGGCTTACCCGCCCACCGCTTCACTTGTGGTATTTGTGTTCCTGCCTCGTGTCAGCCACCTTCTATTGTTAAGCTCGTCAGAAGCATGTACTTAGGAACCCACTTCAGAGCTATATTGAGGGCGAATATTACTGTTGATGGTTGTCCATTAGCTGGTACAAAAGAGGAATATTCAACTGCATATTATTTGTTCATGTAAGTTTTAGGAAATGACAAACATTTTCGGTATATTTCTGTTTATTATGTATATATATATATACTCAAGTCTAGATCCCTGAAAGGATGGCCAGATTATTATATTAAACGCCCACATTGTCGATTACAATTTTGACGAGCACACATGGGATCCCCACATGGGACAACACTTTGTGTGATCCACAAATTGTTGTTCTGAGTCTGGGTGTTCTTTGTGTCCGTTTCATGTATGTTTGTAAAGTCCCCCGCGACACAGGATACATGCCTTATTCGGGAGTTGTCTTTAAAAAAAAATAATTGAAATGACTAAAGAAACATAAACAGTGTGTGTGTGTGTAATGTACTTACTTGTACTTTTAATTTATCAGTCGTTATCTTTTTAAGGTGAAAAATTACAGTAGGTGATCAAAACGTTCCAGAAAATGAATTGAAACGCAAAGCTACGTAATCACTATGTTTTATTTTGAAGGCATTTATATTAAATTAATATCTATACTAATATTATAAAGCTGAAGAGTTTGTTTGTTTGTTTGTTTGTTTGAACGCGCTAATATCAGGAACTACCGGTCCGATTTGAAAAATTCTTTCAGTGTTAGATAGCCCATTTATTGAGGAAGGCTATAGGCTATATATCATCACGCTAAGACCAATAGGAGCGGAGCACCAATGAAGAATGTTTCAAAAACGGAGAAAATTTATTACTATTGAGAGACGCAGACGAAGTTGCGCGGGTCAGCTAGTTTTCAATAAAGATGGGTTTACGAATTTGTTTCATGATTTATATTTAAGATGCTGGTATAATAATTACCTTTCAAAAACCTAAAAAGACGTCATTATCATCAACAGCCTTTACTAGTCCATTGCTGGACATAGGCCTCTCCTCAGAAAGGAGGTTTTGGCCTACTATACCACGCTGGCCAGATGGGTTGGTATAGGTTTTGTTTCAAGCTTTCCTTCTCTTTGCAATGTTGTTGTTCTGCGTAGTTTATTCCCTTAGTCGGCTCTTACGATACTCTCGGGATGAATAAGGATGGTGACACTCTGTATTCTTAATCTGTCACCACACGGATAAAAAGGCGTAAATGGGAAGTATTTTAACTTCTTAGCTTAAATTACGTAATCATACAATTATTTACAAGTGAAATTTATAGAGATAAGTTGATACAGAGAGACTTTGCAAGGACTTGGACAGCTTTTTGTATCCTTTTTTGTATAGTTATGTTCATACATGAGAATTAATGTGGTCAAATAACAGAAGCCTCCCTCTCCCCCCGATTCTTGGGCAATACACTCGTATCTCTTGAGTTGCAGGTGTCCATGGGCAGCGGTAGTCACTTACCATGAGGTGACCCGTCTGCGAGTTTGCATTTGCGTATCTATTACTTAAAAAACCATAAAATAAAATATCCTAACACTTTTTTAACCTACAGATACCCACGTTACTAGTAACAGAAATTCAAAAATAAAGTTGAATCCTATGTAAATTCAAACGCGACATGCATGCTGAATTTTGAACCCGTCAATCCTTAAAATCTGGCTAGCTTTTGGTGATTTCAAAGTTCTAAAAAAATCTTACATACTCGTAGGACTGCACGGATGGCGTAGTGATTTGATTAGCGGTAACCTCGCCGCTTCCTACTACGCTGACACATAAAGTGTTGTAGTACACGGTATACATATATATATTGACGACCGAATGGCGTAGTGGTTTGTGTAACGGACTGCTATTTCAAAGGTCGCGGGTTCGATTCCCGCTTAAGTCAAACATTTGTGTGCATGAACATTTAATGTTTGATTTGGTCTGGATGTTTCTATGTATAATAAGTATGTATTTACAAATTTTTTTATTATAAATGTATTTATATCAGTTGTCTAGTACCCATAGTACAAGCTCTGCTTAGTTTGGGACTAGATGGCGTTGTGTGAATGTGGTACAATATTATTATTAATATATATATATATACTTTGTGTGATCTACAAATTGTTGTTCTAAGTCTGGGTATTCTTTGTATCCGTTTCATGTATGTTTGTAAAGTCCCTCGCAACACAGCATATATTTCTAGTACAAGAGTTGTCTTTTTAAAACAAAAAAAGACTCAGCTAATAAAGGGATAGGCAGAAACTTATTAGAGTGGAGAGAGGCTTATTGTTCTCCATGCGTTCCGAAACTATTGATAAAATTGCTATGACACTTTGGTAAACTATTTTAGTGATAACCGCTAGGATTCCTGGACCAAAAAAATCATATTATAAATGTTTTTATAAGGTATTGTAACACGATACTATATTTTTTTTAATTACAAAGATTTAAGAGTCAAACTTAACATGTTAACAAATTCCTGCCGCGTCAGATACAGAAGCCGCCGCCGCTTCAATTTTGCTTCACATTGACGTCACATCTGCAAATCAAAATGGCTGCGTAAGCGTAAAGCGTAAAATAGATTTGTTCAATGACGAAATGAAAATTTGAGGTTTCCTTTGTGTTTTGGTACTTGTCAAAGGGTGTTTGAACATTATTTTTATACATAAAGAACGAAAGACAAATCGATTGTTACAAAAGACATGTCACTCTTGGAACAACCTAATCTGTCTCGATTCCTTTATCTACTTATTTCTAATAAAACACTAGAATAATTTAAAGGCAGTATGATGAAATGAAAAAACTGAATGAAATTTCTTTGATGCAATTTCTTCTGAGAATTAGTAATGTTCTTTAAAATTCATGTTCAACTGCTATATCTTGCTATACTTACTATGACTGGGAATACTCCAATATGTGCTAAAGTTTATTAAGTTACTTTACAGAGCAGGAAGTCTATTTTCCATCCATAGACATATTTTTAAGTTAGTGTATTATTGTAGGACTCTCTTGTAGTGTGCTTATATTCGCCAGTCAAGGGAATGTCACCTAATGGTAGGTGACTAACAGCACTCATGGACACTGTCAGCTCAAGAGTCATAAGTGCGTGGCCGCTTTATGAATCCTCTACCCCTAGGATAGGTAAAAAGGGAGGTTTGGGCTCCAGTAACCTCACTCACTCGGAACATTGAAAAGCAACGGGAGAATTGCTTACCAGCGATTTTCTGTGAGGTCGTGATTTTACTCCGCCCGAGTTGACAAATTTGTGCCGAAGTATGACTATTTCAAAATAGAATAGAACATTATTTAAATTATAAAGCACAACATACAAAAAAAACAAAAGCTAAATAACACCATATACAAAGAAACTAAAAATCAAGTAAGGTTTGATGAACACACAAATTATCATTTTTCAATATTTCAAACCATCCAACCAGTCGTCTAATCCCACCCACACGCCCACCACTGTAACTCCTGTGCACCAGGATCCACAGCAGTGACCCACGAACACACCGAGTTATGACGCTCGGGAAGTCCCAGGAAGAAATTAAACTGTCTTGGAACCCGCAACGTAATTAATCAGGAGAAAATTGGAGGAGTCGAAAATACAGTAAATCCACTTCCCTCCTTAGAAAAGCGGGCGACAAAATGAAGTAAAATAGGCATACACCCTTTTAAACAGAGAAGCACCACGGCCACAAAATATTACGGGTCCTAGGTGAGCTATATTTGATTTTTATAATATGTATGACAGAATCGCCTAAACGCACGGAAATTCACCCTAGTTGACTCAAGATCCCCATGGTATACCGCCGCCAGATGTCACCTGCAAGCTATTCAGCATTATATTACGTTCATTATACCAAAGACTGCCAGGTGTCTATGAAATTTCACTTTTAATAACTTTTAATTATCAACTAATACTTATAAACCTAATATAGTACCTAATAAACCTAGTACCTAGTAACCTAATACCTAGTGACCTAATAATTTGAAGTTGTTCGATCTCGTTTTATAAAAAAATACTACTATCTCTTATTACAAACAAACGGATTGGCAGAAAAATAACACCATGACAGTATTTGTTAAATCCGCTCGAAGAGCTTCGGGCTATACGGAGGCACTCTATCAAGGAATCAAGCGAATCGTTAGTCGTTACGCTAAATTGCTTTGATTGTTCTTCCAACTTTTTGCGGTTTGATTTGGCAAATTAAAAGATACGACACGTGTCCAAGCACCGTACACCAAATTGTCCCGGATTCCGACCGAGTCGGTTCAGGCGCTTGAAATGTTAACTTTTTCGGAACTGGGAAATGCGTTGTACCTTAGTTATTTTCATTATACTTTATACATTATTTCAAATGAGTGGTGAAATTCGACATCGATTAAACTGTAGTAATTCAATATTCTTTAGGTGTTCAATTTAATTCAATTATCTCATAATCTGACGGCCAACCTTAGCATCATATGGGCTTTTTATATTGCATAGGAGGGCAAACCAGCAGACCGGTCACTTAATGGGCAGTGATTGGCCAACCATCGAGTCTCCTTCCAAAATCAGGGGGAGGAGATGATAGCAATGAGAGGGTTGCTTAACACAGTTCATTGAGGTTATCAAAGCTCAATCTCTCGCAAATTTTTGGGTACTCACAGGGTGGCAAATCAAATGAGACACTTGAATTCCAGGTATCCATACCATCAGTTGACCCGTCTGTTCGTTTGCCCTATTCCATAAAAAAAGAAAAAGCTTGGAAGTCAGTGTTTTTTATAAAAGTTTTTTTCCTATACTTGGGCTGAGGAAAAACATTCAAACTCAGTTTTTAACGCTACGTTTAAGTTGAGCTTTCATTAATCAGTAGCCATTTCACGGGATGTTGCTATTGATGGTAATTGCGTTCATTTCAAGTACTACACTGTTTATTTAAATGAAGTTTTAAATATAACTGGAGTTGGAAACAAGTATGCGGGCCGTCTGTTTGTAGGTTCGTCAAGGCTCGTTGAAAATTAACATCTAATGGTTACAACTCATCATATTATATACAAACAAGAGGCAGATAAGCCACCAACGCACAACGCGTGCTATGAATTGGTCCTAATTAGGACCAGTGCGAGCGAGCGCATGTACTAATTAATTCAAGAACATT